ATGGACATACCATCATCACATTCTATTGTTTTAGTTTTTTTTTAACGTTTGGAATCAACATCTCAGAAACATATCAGGGATCCAGTGGAAGGACCAGGGGGACACTGGCCCCAGCTGAAATCTGATTGGCTCCTGAAGTGTCCCTGTCCTGTCAGTAGTCAGTAGTAAAATATTTCTTTACTAACAATACTAAGAACACATTCAATAGATAATTTGTCTAAGCGTTTTTGAAGTTCACAATAAACAACGTACAATTTTCACAGTATGAATTCAATGATGTGTGACTTTGCTCAAAGCTAAAGAGCTAACAGTGAAAAAGGAATGACTCACATGTGCATCTTACTAAATCATGAGCTGTTGGACATATAATTGTCCCCTGAGCTAGAAAAATCCTAGATCCACCAATGACACAGCTTCAGTCCAACTGACAATTTAATCTATAGTTTTGTCCTTGCCCTGCAGCTTGACTCTGTGTTAGTTTGGTGATCTTAAATACACAATTCAAGGTAATGCAGCTAATGGAGAAAACATCCAAAGTCAAAGATGTTACCATTAAATTATAGCTTGACAAAACAGTTTTTTGTTCGATTACTTGTTTTTCCTTCACTGAAATTCATTTCTGCCTTAGTATCTTCTCCCTGACTCGAAAATAACCTTTACACACACAAAGACTTGGCTGTATATCTGTAAAAAATATTTTTTCGGTTTATCTCAGATGGGTGATGCATCTCTGTCTGAGTCTCCAGAAGAGGAGGAGGATGTTGACAGTCCAGGCCCAGACAAAGGGAACTGCAGCTCCCAAATCCAAAACTTACATTCCACTGACGACCTGCATGGAAGTCCTCGCAAACGCACCCAGACCCTGCCCACCTTCACCTGCCCCCTCACCGGGATGGCAGCTAAGGCCGACGCACTCAACCGATGGAGTCGCATCCAGGAGGTGGGGGAGGTGAAGACCGAAACATTGTCAGAGGACATTTTTAGGATCCTGGACCTCAGGAGCTCAGGATCATTGTTCGGGGGGTCTCAGATGAGTAACAAGAAGGAGGAGCATACGCTCCCATCCTACGGAGGAAGTGAGAGCACAGGTTCTTCAAAAGCTGACTCCCAGAAACCTGACAGCCAGTCCCATCCTACCAAGGTGCTGTCCCATCAGAAGAGTGTAGAGACAGTGGGGGGTTCAGATCAGGAGGTCAACAGCAAGTCTGAGCTGAAGAAAGACGACCAGCCGCTTATAGACAGGTGGGTTCAGATGAGAAGTCACATGGAAACACAGTGTTTACCTTAATACTAACTCACAACACACCAATGAGACCCTACACATCCTTTGTTAACACTTTTAAAAGTAATATGTGATACGCTAATACAAAACTATAAATAAATGTTTTAACAATAGTCTCAATGACCTTTTCAGGAACCACAATATCCAAATGAATTTAGCAGGATAACCTTAAGGTATTCAGTGTATTAATAATATTATTTGAAAGCTTTTTGTAACTATGAGGGCTATTTATTTATTTTTTCTATTTATTTGTGAAGCATTTTGTAACTTTGATTTAAGATCTATATCTATCTATCTATCTATCTATCTATCTATCTATCTATCTATCTATCTATCTATATATATCAAGTAAAGATTTTATAATTTTATTGCATGTAAATACCTGTCATCATTCCCAAGACTATATAGAGTCTAGAAAAAAAGACTTTCTTTTTTTAGACTGTTTACCTGACTATGTGAACCCTGGTTGTCTCTCTCAGTGTGCAGCAGGAGAACCAGGAGCTGAAGGCCTCCGTGGCAGAGCTCCAGTCAGCTCTGGAGGCAGAGCGCAGCCGTGCGGCCGCTCTGCAGATCTGTCTGAGAAATGCTGAGCGCAGTCGAGATGAGGCCCAGAGACGCAACGATGAGCTGCAAAGAGACATTGAACAGTTCCTCAGCAGAAAGCTGCAGGCTCCCACCTAACTGTCCTTTTCAAACTCAGTAGTGTATGGATCCATAACTCCATCAACCTCAACAGAGCTAATTTCACAGGAGGTGATTATGAACTGTTGTCCTCCAGTGTGGTGACACTGGGTTGTTTCCATTTGAGCTCTGTCTGGACCTGAAAGTCTGTCATCAGACAGTTAATTATCACAACTTCTAATAAAGACTTACAATCCAACACAAGTTTGTTGTACCTACTGGACAGGTGATGCCACACCCTTTTATCAGAGAACTGATAATAATGGCGGCCAATAAAAATACCATGTTATTTTCTGTCCATTTTAAATGTCAGTTAAATGTTAAATTAATAAAACTGCACAGATGTATTTTGTTGCATAAATGCATGAAATAATCTTTCATCACATACATACATGTATTTTTCATAAGAACATATCAGTGTACATAGACATTGTCATCATCACTCACTGATGGCTGCCTCACCAACGTGATAAGCTGCAGTAATGGCAATAAATATGAGACGTGATGAAACTGCTACAGGCCTGCAGACATACAATGAACAGTGGTGCTGACATGTTGAAACTGACACTTAAGGACCTTGTTTACTAATGCTTGTGACACTACAGGCACAACAGTGATTGCAGCTAATGTTAACATCAGCATCAGCTAACTTTGCACTGAGCACACTAACATGCTAATATAGCAAGTTATATAACAAGTATGATAAAAAATGAAAATGCACTCATTATCTTCTCACCACTATGCCGATGGAGGGGTGGGTGAAGTGTTTGAGTCCACAAAACACCTCTGGAATTTCAGGGGTAAACTTATAGCAGCCAAATCCAATACAATTGAAGTCACTGGTTACTGATTCTTCAAACGTAAAAAAAACCCAGAAAAACTTAACATGCCTCCATACTGCTCCTGTGGTGTCATCCAAGTGTCCACAAGACCTGACATTCAAATTAGATTCTAATTGGCTTCATTTACACCGTGTTTTAAGCCTGAATATCTGCTCTGATCCTGAGCCCCTACATCGGCATAGGCCTATTGGTGATTAAATTAGTGAATTGTAATTTTTGTGTGAACTATCCCTTTAACCATATGAAAATTTAGTTGCTGATATGTTTTTTTGTGGCCCAACAGACAGACTAAACAACACTGCTATCCACAGAGCTATGTTGTTAGCATGGCCAAAAAATTGGACATATATCACTCCAGAGACTGCATGTGTTTCATTAAAGCTTAATTAAATCAATACATTTTCATATTGACAAAGGCTCAAATGACTGCATGTAATGTGAGGTACAACTAAAAGGAGAGTATAACTGTGTTGGGCAGCCAGCAACAACTCCAAATTAACTCAAACATTTCTCGATGTCTGATGGAAACGTAACAAACTGACTGTTCTATTACAGACAAATACTGCATCAAATTCCCCCACTTCTGTAAAACCGATGAAAAATAATAATCATCTACACATGAATTATATTTTCAACTAAGCTCAGCACAAAATATTGGCTGTTGGAAGTTTTTCAGTCCCAAAATAGCAGCTCTGGCCTTCACACATCCCCATTTATTTCGCGCTAATGTCTATAATAGAGATGAAGTGGAGGGGACTGACTGTGTCCACATTGCCACTGACAAGCCTTCTGACAGTCATCAGGAAGATGTGATAGTCTGTTGTGGCAGCAGTAACACAGGGCGTCAGATAACAGCACGTCTGTCAACTGTCAGCCTGGCAGATGAGTGGCAGAGGCAGGAAAAAGTTCATTCCTTCCCACCTCTGTAAAGCGCCACAATCAGGAGTGTATCTGCAGGTCACACAAAGAAGCTCAGGAATGAAGGACAGTTTGTGTAGTGGGATGAGGGTTCAGATGACGAATCGGTCAGTTATGCAAATCTGACATCTGAGAGCTGAGAACGACTTGGGTGTTGGAAGTCTTTCTCAATGATTCAATCAGTTTCTGAAGCATCATTTCTCTTGTTGCTGATGACGCCCCTCATGATTATGTCTGTGCCCCATTGTATTTGCTCTTGCCCTAAAAAAGGAGCCTCTTGTGGACAGATAACCCATTTCAGACACTGTGTCCACTTACCAGAAGAGGAAGAACATTTCAGCAAACATTGGGGCTTTGCCAAATGAACACAAGTGATCATTTTGTGCTACTCTGTTGTCCTCACGAGCTACTTAAAATTCATTCTATACTCACTGTGAGCTCAGTGTCTCTCATTCTCCATCATTAAGGCCTCACACCTCATTGCATTTCAATTTCATTTGGACATTTATATATCCTGTTGCACTCAACAATATAAACACATACTTGGTGTATTTTGTCAAAAAGAAATGGTCAATGGAGTCCAGACAGCAGCTCGCAGAACTCCACCATTTACAAAGCAAATAAACAAATGAAGAAAATCAAGCCTGGAGCACCCACCCAAACAAAATAGCGCTTCCACAAGGAAGAGTCTACAGGACAGTGTTTACAAAATCCTCATTAAGGTTGCTAGATAACACGCTCATGTGCATCACACAAAGTTGAAGGCATGCACACAAGCACACAAACACACACACACACACACACACACACACACAAGCAAAGAGACCATAAGCACTGAGCAATGCAGAGCCCACCATATCATAGATAAGGGGCAGAAAGAAAGAGCTGGGAAGAAGAGAGCAGAGCACAGAGACTGACAGAGGACAGGACACAACAGAGATGAGTCGAAGGGACAAAGACAAGCCTTGGCCACCCTGTCACCGGAACTGCAGCCCCGACGCAAAGGACATCAAAAGGTGCACATGAGAATAAATTCTGTGAGATCTGGAGGAGGGCAGCAGGAATACACACTCCTGCAGAGCAGCGCACACTGGTCAGTGCAAGGGTCAACAACACAACTGACTACTGCCTGGGACAACAGAACTTAGGCAACAGATGAGATGAACAATATCTAAATGAACCTTTGGAATCCAGAGATATTTTTCTTGTTTTTGCATTAGCTTATCTATAGACAACCACAGAGGCCATACAATAGAAAGCTGCAGATTGTTTCTCTCATGGCGTGTATTTGGGTCTCTCAACTGGGAACCATTTGCAGCTCCAAGACGTGGCTCTTGCTGTTTTCCATCCTGCACCTCCAGGAGCCTCTCTGTGGAGAGAGCAGTCCAATCTCAGGTGCCCATCAGAGGCATCGCCCTGCTCCGGGGCTGGGAGACGGGCATGGAGGGGTGGTGGATCTGTCACTGCTGGAGCAGGACGGCAACCTGGACATGCAGAGCCTGCTGGAGAGCCTGAAGGAACAGTTTATGCGGACTTTTAACTTGTCGGGCTTGGGTCCTCCACTGCTTCCTGGGAGCACACGAGAGGAGCCGCCTGAGTACATGATGGAGCTCTACAACCGCTTTGCTAATGACCACACTGCCATGCCCTCCGCCAACATCATTCGCAGCTTCAAAAATGAAGGTATTGCTCATGTGCTCCTGTTATGATGACCCTGTTAATTATAAAAATGGATCAAAAGGAGAACTACCATTATTATTTCTTAGTTACAATTACTTGTAGTTTTTTTTCCTTCACACCCTGGTCTGCAAGGCCAAGGTAAGTAGTACTAGATATACATTTTTTGGGTATCAATCATCAATCAAATGTTATTTTTATAGCCCATATTCAAAAATTAAATTTGTTTCATGGGCTTAACAAGGTGCAACAAAAGAAAGAAACCAAATTTTAGTTTATCTATCACAAAGCTGTTGCTTGTTACTTCTCTGTACATGGCAATGATCACATCCCCATTGTTGTCCCCAAACAAAGTAAAGAGTATTAGAACAAATTCCTCAAAGAGTTTGGTTTGAATGATAGCTGTGTTTAGAGTTTAGTGTGTTGAACTCAGCTCAATACGTGATTGACCACTCATGTCTGTCCCCCAGATTCATCTCCGAGTGTTGTGGGTGTTGGAGGAGTTAGGCGTCACCCCCTCCTCTTTAATGTGTCAGTTCCCCATCATGAACACATCACAGCAGCGGAACTTCGACTCTACACCCTTGTCCAGACTGACCGTCACCTCTATGCTGGTGTCGACCGCAAGGTCACAATCTATGAACTGGAACTGCACGACCTGGATGAGAACACGACAGATGAGAACACTGTGAGAGGAGATGCTTTCAGAGCGGGAGGAGAGCGGATAGAGCGAGTGGAGTTGGCTTCACGCCAGGTCTACGGCACTGATAATGGATGGGAGGCCTTTGACCTCACTGCTGCTGTCCAACGCTGGCGCAAATCTGACCAAGGCACCACGCACAGGTTGGAAGTGCAAATTGCCAGTATGGCAAATGATAATGTTCAAGGTTCAACTGACGACAACAAAGGCAGTAATCCACCTGAAGGAGACATGAAGATTGACACCAGTCCTGAAGAAAAACACAAACCCTTGCTGATTGTTTTCTCTGATGACCCAAGCAGTGATCATCGTGATGACAAGCGTGAGCTTAATGAGATGATTGACCAGGAAACCTCGAACATGGTTCTGCCGAATGACTTAGGAAGGGGTCTTTGGGGAGAGCTGGAAAGGGATGAAGAGGATGAGCCAGATGAAGAGGACCTCTTACAAATGAGATCCAATCTGATCTATGACTCAGCATCTCGAATTCGTCGCAATGCCAAAGGCAACCATTGCAAGAAACAATCTCTTTATGTAGAGTTTAAAGATATTGGATGGGACAGTTGGATCCTGGCACCTACAGGCTACGATGCCTTTGAGTGCGCTGGAATTTGCTCTTTCCCACTGACAAAGCATGTCACACCTACCAAGCATGCCATTGTGCAGACATTGGTCAACATCAACAGTCCTCAGAAGGCGGCACGAGCCTGCTGTGTGCCTACCAAGCTCGACCCCATCTCCCTGCTGTACCTAGATGACACAGGTGTTGTCACCTACAAGTACAAATTTGAAGGCATGGTGGTGGCTGAGTGTGGCTGCAGATAGTCCACACTGAAAGAAAGTTTAACTTATTATAGTCTTACGTTCGGACCCTGAACAAACAAGCTGGAAAAGGAGATAAGCCGAGAATGTGTTCAACAAAGGGACGACTGTTGAAATCTCTGTGAGGGTTCCTGAGTGCCACCGGAAGTGTACATGCACTGGCACGCCAAGTGTGGACAAATATGTTTTAAAAGACAAAACAGAACGAGGTGCTTCATCTTACATGGCAAAAGTCATGAATATCAGTTGCCATCATTTAGACAATGGAGAGAAAAGTGTCACATATCTACTTGTCAACTTGTTCAATAGTGAGAACAACAAGAATAAAAAGGCAGGAGATTTCCCAAGGACCAAACCAAGAACATCCTTCAGTGCAGCCTGGTGGGAACTAGTGGGCCAGGCGTCCCCCTCCCTCTACTTCCCGTGACATCTGTCTTCCTCTCCACTTATCTCTGCCCCCCCCCCCCCCCCCCCCCCACTCGATGCAAACACTAATCAGCACTTCATGTGTCCTGGTGCAGTGAAATGACCTCCCAGAGGCAACCTGACAAGACATGAACTCTGTAGGCCCACCTCCTGCCTCCTGCAGCCTCCTGATACGTAGGTGCTGTGCAGGGTTCCCGGTGGCAGGGTTATCTTTCCCAACCCTGTTTCCCACGTCACATGCCTCTTTTCCACTCCCTCAAGCTAAAGCGATAGCAAGGTGTTGGGGGTTGAGAAACATGTGAGCCACCACTTCAGGCTGAGAATTGGACGAAATTCTGGACATCTTTTAAGGTTGGGGAACTGGGGGTTGGGGGTACATGACAAGAGGGCAGAGGTTGTCCAAATTCCAAGGCAAAAAACTATCTTTACTGGCTCAACTCACTGACCCATCACCATGTGCCCCCCAACATATCTCCAACTACTAAATTGAGTCATCCATCATTTTTATGTTCAAATGTCCTCTTTGGAACAGTATCACCTTTAAGCTAAAAAGTGGGAATGGGGGCACCTCATTCCAGTAATGGATTTCCAAAGACAAAATAACAACATTTCTTTTGTTATAAGCCCTTTGATACCTCTGCTGCTTGTGTCAAATAAAATACTATTTATTGCTCTAATTTATTGATTTTGACAACAGAGTAGAAATATGTGTACATTTGTAAGTTACATATTGTAGAGCAGGTTTTGTAACCATGACAATGCATTCGCAGCACAAGACAATTTTTGTTGGAAAGAGAAATGGTAACTAATAAATAAATAAATTGCAAATACCTTATAAATCTCAAATGAAGAGTTGACTTCTGACTTAATAACCGATTCTTACTTTTTTCACAGGGTTCACACATCATGTTATTCAAAGCACCATCTTGATTAAATATTTCGAGCTAAAGTATCAAGCTGACATTGTTTTCACTGTTAATTCTATATGATCTACTCTCCACATGACATTTATCAATCAAAACATCTTGGTCCGTCACCTCTCTTTTCCATTTTTTCGAAGGAAGCTTATAGACCAGTGATATGATGCACAGCTCACATTCAGATCATTCAGTCTGACAGTATCAGCTCTCAGGTCATAGTTCACATATGACACACAAACAAAGAACCATGGGAAGATCTGCTAATGAACAAAATGGATGGCCTGCGGCTCACACTGACAGTGTGCAGATGCAGACAGCTGTGATGGAAAACCTGTTGGTGAAGAGAAAATGTGAACAAGAGACAAAGATCTGTACTCGTATCTCTATCTCTCTCTGCTCTCACTCAATTTTCTATGAACGCTAAAGCCAGGATGTAAGAGCATGACGTTATGATGTTTTTTCCATGTACAGACACACACAAGATGTAAATAAAAGATACAGATCAAATTTGTCAATGAACTGCGTAAAACTCTTCCTGTTTATTTGCTGGGAGGGATGTGTATCAGTAATGTTGTGTGAAAGGTGAGCTGCCTGTGCTCTGTTTGGTCGAGGATTCAAATCAAGAGTTTGAAAGAGATGATGAGATGGAAAGTGATGCAATGAGTGGATTGTAATAGTCACTTGAGTGCATTGTGAGTTAAGTACTGAATGGCAGACCTAGGAGAAAACGTGATGTCTATATTGGAAGCACAAACTGGATACAGTTTGACCTATTTGCTTTCTTCACAGAAAATTGGTTCACTTGAACCTCAAGTCGGAATAACAACTTTGAAAGTCTTTGAATGAAAGAATTTTGGTACACAACCTAATCCGACGTGCCGATGTAATCATTTATAAAGCACTTAACATACTTTTACAATCAGCTGTGATTTGAAGCTTTTAATGTGAACTCTTGACAAGAAATCAAATATACTACCTTTAAGTTATTTTTGCAGCAGTAACCGTTAATGTAAAAAAAAAAAAAAAAATGCCAATGAGTTGCAAGTCTAACTCAGGCCATAATGATGCGATTGACTCATTGTTCCAAAAATAGTGATGCTTCTGTTACTTCCTCGTGTCTGATGGTAAAAGTGTTTATTTTAGTTTTGGGTAACAACATAGTAAACCCCTTTCCCAGCTTTAAGTATCCAAAAAATGTGTGTCGTAACAGAAGCTGCAGTTCTTTAAACCCATTACAATGATCTAATAATTCTATGAGAAGCTTGATAAAAAATTGTGAGCAAAGGTCATCTAAAAATGGCTACAGAGCAGAGGGCAAGAGCCTCGGCCAGTTTCTGGGACAGCAGGCAGCCTCAGCTTTGTAAAGCTCACTAATTGAATATTTACAGAATGGTGGAAGAAATAGGAAACTGGCCTTTGTCACTGGATGGCAAACCTTCAGAAAACATGGTGAAATGGGAAGTCTTTATTATTTACTCTGATGATAAGGACAGCTGCAGAGTGATCTGTGCTTTTTCTCACTCTTGTTTTGACATGGCTCCATTTATTGGAAGAATTTAAATCTTGCTGCTCGTTCATGCTGCATTTTGTGAAGGTTGTAACCTACATGATTAATTTAAGAGCACACCTCACAACCAGTACACAAATTGAACGTCTTCCTATCTACAGCTTTCAAAGTGCATGAAAATCCTGTATTGCTTCACCAACTGACATCATGACATTGGCTGTGGGTTGCCGACGTGCATCTTGCTGTGTGTGTATTGGTGTGTCATCCAAAACTGCATGACTCTCCCTGACTCTGACGTCTGGTCTGTAATAAGCATGATTGTTTCCGTTTGCAGTCACACGTTTATCATTCTATCTCTGCAATCATCACCACCCAGTGCTGATTTCTTGCTCTGTACTCACATTTCCAGGGAATGCACAGCTTGATCGTCAGCCCCATCACTTGATGTAAGAACAAACATACTTGAACCATTTGCTTTCGATTCTGGTGTTGTGCAACTTCAGAAAAGCCCACTGTAGGAGTCAGTAATGAAAGACAGATGGTCAGTGTTGTTCACATGCTTATGTGGGCCAAGTAATATAATAAATAAAATAATAAAATAAGAATTTAACTGTAACTCTATTACAAGTAATCACTTTAACTCACCACACACCTTCAGAAAATATATGACTATTGTTTAGTCTGCTGCCAGTGAGAAATGGTGTGTATGAAAAAAGTGTTGTATAATCATTGCCGAGGTGAAAACCGGTTATCTCCCTACAACTGTTGAATTTGTCTGCCCATTGTGATTGATCTCACAGTAAGGGTGAAGTGCAGGAGGCATACAGCAATCTCAAAATCTTTGCAACCCCCTACATGTGAAGAGAACATGAGCACACCTCTCATGTGATCCCAGCTGAACTCTGTTAAAAAGTAAATCCCAGGAGTGATGTTACTGGAATTATAGCGTGGTTTAAAAAAAAGGTGACAGCTCCAAATAGTGACTTAAAGGTTTCTCATTTCTGAACACTAGGTTTTGAAAGAAAAAAACCCCACATGGTTTGGATTACCGAAACAAATACCAGTGAGGTAGGAAGTATGGACAAGTACACACTGATCACACAGCATTGCGACACAGCACAAGTCATGACTTGAGACTACCAAGACACAAATCTCGTATTTTCTCATGCTTTTCAAATTCCTTCTGTTTGGAAAAGTGATTCACAAAAACACGTCACAATCATTTGAATATGAAATAATCTTTACAAAGTTATTTCTCATCCAGAAATGAATTCAATTAATATATATATACATATGTTCAATTGTCTTGCATTGCTGATAGCAATGAGCAAGATTGATATCCAGTTTGAGAAATGTGTTTATTTGCATAGTTGCCCAGATTTAGATGCTCACTAAATATGAAACTACAGCTAGCATACAGTTATCTTAACTTAGCATAAAGACTAGGAACAGGGGGACGATCCTGGCTTGGCTCTGAGGAAAATTTACCTGACAGGACATAAAGCTCAGTGATGAAAATCTTCAATCCTTGTTTAATCTGTATACAAATTTGTAGTTTTACGATTTGTTATATACTGATCTATTTCCTGGTCAGGTGTGGTAACATCCACTGAGCCAAGCTAGTTGTTGTGCTAGCTCTGCTAAGTTTCCAATTTACTTCTCATCTTTGGTCTTCTCTAAATCTCCTTTAGAGATCAAATAAGTGTACATATCTTAAAATGTCATTTGAAAGTTTACTTTTCCCTGAAAGATACATATACATTTGCCAATACAAATCTGTCACTTATTAGCTGCCTTGGCCTATAGCCTATAAACAGGATCAAAGCCCACTAATCCATCCAAACACATGTGTCATCACAAGATCACATTTGTTGCTCATTAGACTGAGAATTTTGATTTCATCATGTTGTCGCTTTATCTTCTCACCACAAGCTGCATTTACTTACTGTGGAACAAACGAGATGTTCTTCCAAATTGTCAGCATTCACATTTTGCCATGTATCAAGCACTGCTTGAGAACATGGGATTGGTCCACAAACATAGTGTATATAGTCCTTTATATGGAGCAATGCTGTAAAGTCAGTTTTATTACATGTAGGCTTGTTCAAGAGTTTTTTAAAAATATAAAAACTTTACAGATCCATGATTATTAAGTGATCATCTGATAGCGAAAGCAAAATCCACAGAATGTATCCTTCAATTCATGTTGGCTGTTAACTCCCAGTAACACCATTGTGGATGTGTATACCCCACTCATGCAATGTATGTGCCAAAGAGGTGGTCCCAGTGGGTGAAGTAGGGGGCGTAGTTGCCATTGAATTTGATATGGTGGGTGTGGTGAAAGGGGGCTCCTCCTAGAAAGGGCAGCAGTCTGTGCAGAGCCCAGGGCAGATTGTAGCCACAGTGGTCTTCCACTGCCATCCAGCTGTTGATGAGGTGAAAGAAGATTTCGCTCAGAGGGTGGCAGTCCACCACCCAGGCGCTGCTCAGAGCCAGCAGCAGCAGAAACAGCAGCTCAGTGGAGCTGGCATCTTGGGCTGCCAGAGCAAAGGTCACACGGTGCTGGTGGTGCTGCTGGTGGATGTTGCGGTATAGCCAGGGAACCCTGATGGAGCACACACACAAAACAGCCGATAATTATACTGTTCACATAGTATCTCTGTGGTATAGCCAACGAAACAGCAGGTTTTACTACTTGTAATAGTAATACTAAAAGCAGAACAAGAAATGAACCTTTAAAGCAGAGCTCAGGTTCAAAGGGCACATTTTGAACCCACCCCTCTATGTTAGCAGATGGGATATGGCCCAAACTAAAAAGTCCAAGCTAAATACATTTCTCTCAGAGATGGTTTCTGTCATTTTTGAGTAGTTCTTCTCACCCTGATGGATGTTCATGTTTGTGTTAAGTTTGATTTTGGGACCTTGGTAGTGTGGGTTCCCATCACTATTAAGCAGAAACTCTATGGTGAGAGGAAGTGTAGTCCTCCATCTTTATATACAATCATTGTTAGGGACTTATCATCTGTATATCTCGCCTTCTGTTGTTTCAATTTTCACTGCACTTTTCATTTTCGTTTTACTTTCATATGCAACTAACTCTACAGGTCTCGACAGAACCTTCAGCAGTATCAGTACAACCGATTAACTATGAGTAACCTCCTTTCCCACCTGCTTAAAGTAAGTAATAGAAAGATATAAAGTGATTTAGAGTGTAATCCAAGAGGACCAGCCACCATGTCAATATAAAGTTTTAAAATATAAAGGGTCAAAAATGGCTTTCACCTAAATCTTTCACACTGGACCTTTAAAGGTTAAGAGTGTAAGATTTAGGTGAAAGGATCTATCGGCAAAACTTTAATGTAAAATAATCCTAATGATGTTTTAATTAATGTGTAATCATCTAGATTGTACAAATTGTTGTTGTCATTATCTTAGAATGAGCTCTTTATATTTATATACTTTATATTTACATAAGGAGCAGGTACTCTCTGTGGATGCACCATGTTTTTAACAGTAGTCCAAACTGGACAAACCATATTCGGTTGTGCAAAACGAGGGCTTTAAACACGTGCTGAAAGTGCTTGAGCCACGTTACGAAATCCCGTCGCGCACCCACTTCAGCGAAAAGATTGTGCCAGATCTTTATGAGCAGAAGAAAAAAGTTGTGGATGAACTATCCCGAGCATCCTCTGTTGCGCTCACGACAGACAGGTGGACGTCCAGGGGAACGGAGAGCTATAGCAGGGGACATAGTGACTACAAAGAGGTCCACACTCTCCCCAGACACTTTAAGTTAATTTTATATATTTTAATTTAATAATTTAAAAGTGTTAATA